TATACAGTGCATGTAAATCACAGGACACACCAACACAATGAACAATGCAGCGGGCTGACCACACATCCGAACGGGCCCCTTTAGGAATACAAGGGCCTTGGCACTCGTGAACAGACAGTACCCTGGCTAGAATGTGTTTCCCCAGTGTCTGCATACGAAAGCGGAAGTTGAACATTTGTCCCCAATTGTATCCCTGGCGATGATGATAACGATGATTTCAATCACCGTCACCGTCATCGTCAAACTTGAGTGAAGGGTAGACGTTTGATTGCCAGCGTCAACCATCCTCCAACTGCAGCCCTCTCTCTCTCTCTGAGTCGTCCTCTCTCTCTCTGAGTCGTCCTCTCTCGACACGCGACCCAGATCCAGGAGAACCGCCGGCAAACGGAGCGACGGGGTCGTCCAGAACAAACACCGCCTCATTCGAGTCCCCAGACACCCCAGACACCGTGGCACATCCTTGGCTTTGAAGCATCATCAGAACATCAGCGCCGGGCCGATGCCGCGTCCCTTCGTGAAGGGAACATGGAAAGACAAAAGCTGAGGCGGTGCGATTGTGGTGCTGCTGCTGCTGCCCTCCCACTCAGCTCTCTCTGAGTCGTCTCTCTCTCTCGCTCTCTCTGAGTCGTCCCCTCTCTCTCTCTGAGTCGTCCTCTCTCTCTCTCTCTGAGTCGTCCTCTCTCTCTCTCAGAGTCGTCCTCTCTGAGTCGTCCTCTCTCTCAGAGTCGTCCTCTCTCTCTCTGAGTCGTCCTCTCTCTAAGTCGTCCCCTCTCTCTCTAAGTCGTCCCCTCTCTCTCTAAGTCGTCCCCTCTCTCTCCGAGTCGTCCACTCTCTCTCCCCCTCTCCGAGTCGTCCTCTCTCCACGAGCGAGCAGCGGACGCTGGGCGGTGGTGGCGGTGGCGGTGCAGTGTAATGCGTTGACATTATTATGAGAGCCATGTTTACTCTCAAAGTCAAAATTCAAAGCCACTCGCTACTTAACCCAGCAATGTTTGCGGTGTTACTATCTGTCGGCGCTCCGAAGCTTGTGATGGAATTCTTCATTCCTATGGCAGGGTCCGTTTGCCCATCCCAACAACCGTCATGTTGTTTTTTACTGTTAAATATAAGAAAGTCACGTCGTCCCGCACAGCTCCTGAGTCAATTCCGTGCTGGGTGAGGGCATCACCGCGCTGTGTTGGCCGTCGGGGGCGACACGACCAGGCGTCGCCACGCCGGCTCAGGCGAGTCGACCGCCCCGACGTTGGTCAACTCAACCCCGAGCCGCCAAGTGGACCGCGCGGTGCGCCCAACCGCTGCCCCACCACTCCCCCCTCATTATATAAGAAACAGCTGGCAAGTGAAGATTGTTTGTGCGGTGCCCCAAGGCCCTAGCAATGCAGATGACAGCTGACAGCTGCCCATGAACAATATCTCCATCTGTAATCGCGTTCGGTCAAGGGGGCCCCGTGGCAAAAAGTTACCATCCAGCTAAAATGTTGACTCACCATGTGCACAACGGGTCCACACAGACCCATAGATTTACATAGAGACCCACATGCAGACCCTCACACAGAGACCCGTAGGATCACGGACTCACGTAGAGTTCCACGGACTGAGAGACGCGCAGATACCCACAGACGGAGACCACACACGCACACCAAATACATATCTGGAGACCCATAGACCTACATAGAGACCCATAGACTTAACAGAGACCTATATAGACTAGCGGAGACTCGTCGGCTTACAAATAGTCCAATAGAGACCTACGCGTGCCCAAGTGTGACGTGCGCAGCCCTTCATCAATCGCTGCTGGATCAGGGCCTCCCGCTCCCTGCGGGAAGCGCCAGGGGGTTTGACCGTACTTCACCACTGGTCAGCGCGGGTCGGCAAAGGGGGAGGCGCAAGTTCTGTACTCACAACGTTGGATGTGCGCTGCCCACTGGCGACACGTTGATAAGCAATCGCAAACGAACTGGAATCCCACCCACTAACTTAGGCCCCGAGGAAAATCTCCAATTCCCTAAATCGGTGCGAATCTCATCGCACGGCGGCACACGCGGATTACGTTAACCCCGTGCGGATGTCCTGTACAGTCCAGGAGCTACCCTTCATCTTCAAAAAGGGCCCTTAAATGTTGAGTTAGTTCACCCGTAATGCTGGGACATTTCTGACGGTGCCACCGTGCTCTTCCACGACCCTTGCGAGCAGCAACCCCTCGGGTTGATGTGAATTTCTCAAGTGGTGCTGCGGTTTTATTGTTGAGGAACCACAAACGGCCACCCACAGAGAGCGGACGCATCAATAGCGCACGCAGCCCGGGGGCCATCTGCATCTTTCGCCGCTGATCATCTCGAACAAACAACTTTGACCTGTATTCTTGGTTCTGTCGGTAAAGTCGGGAAATAATAAAATAAAATAAAAACAATACAATTATCACGACGTTTCGATTGCAACACAAGCAATCATAAGCAGGTGTGAAAAGCACAGCAAGAAAATGTGGAAAAAAATTATGCTGTGAAAAGTTTTTCTTGCTGTGGTTTCCCACCTGATGATGATTGCTTGTGTTGCAATCGAAACGTCGTGAGAATTTGTATTATGTTTTATTTTTATCATTTTATTATTTCCCTCCTACGTGACTTTACCGAAAGAACCAAGAATATGAATCCCTGCAGTCAAGAAAGCTTTAATCGAAATTCGAGTTGTACTCGTTAAGAGTTTAACATTGTCTCGCGAATTTAGCGAGGTTATTTATTATTTCAAGAGCTGGGATGAGGGATGACGACGACGATGATGGGCGAAGGAATTCCCAGGTGCAGCAGTGGCGACGGAAGAGGCATAAAGAGAATGAGGTGACCCGCAGTGTGGCGAGTGGACGAGTGTGTGGGGGGGCGAGTGAGGTGAGCGTGTGAGAATGTGTGCGAGTGGCTGCGTGAGTGAGTGGGTGAGTGTTTTTGGCGAGTGACAGGGAGGGAGGGTGGGTGAGTGTGTGAGTTTGTCGTTGATGTGACCTGCAATATGACCGAGACGAACATGTCTGGTGGGCCAAGCCCTCATACGTTCAAGTGAACGGTTTCGATGGCAGTAGGAGTGATGGTATACAGATACGATATACAAATCCAAAACGACAAAAAAATATTTAAAGCTCACACGTAAACTCTTCTCCTCACAGCAGGGACATCGGTGGCCAGCACAAAGCACGATAAACCCACTCACCCGAGCTCGAATCCTGGTCACGGCTAACATCGATGGCAAGTGAGATCTCAACTGATCCTGCACAAATCCTTGTCAGCAATCGGCATTGACCGCATGGGTCAAGTAGAGTCAAACGACCTCCATGACAAGGGGCTGTTAATTATGATTACTTATGAGACTTGCATACTCGCACAGAGACGCACTGACTAACATAGACTCGCTGAAACCCATTGACTCAAGAATAGACTCATAAACTCACATCAACCCATATACAGCCCCACACAGAGACCCATAGACTCACCTAGAGATCTACAAACTCACAGAGACCTCCTAATACTTTCCTAGAAACCCCATAGGCTTAGAGAACCCATACACTGTACTTGCATCAGGACCCAGTAGCATATATAGGCCGACCGATGTACAGAAATCCAGCGATTTCACCAACCCGCACGGATCAGCGCGGTGAAGTATGGTCAGACAACCCTCACGACCGGGACAAAGCTTCAGGCCTCCAATGCAGCAGTGAACTGAACAGAGGGCCGTAGACGATTATTTCTATCATCAGCCATGGTCATTCCACTGCTGGATGAAGGACTTCTCAAGCCCCCTCACGATTCTGCGATGTGATTGATCCACCCAGCAGCACCTGCCATGTGAGGCCATCTCATGGCTCCATCTCCTCGACGGACGTGCTCTTTGCCGATAATGGCACGAAAAAATCAACACATTCGTCAATGGCACCGTGGTCTTAAAAAGGATAAATATATACGAACGTACGAATAACTGGCGCAATGGCCTCATTCAATGGCGGAGCCAGGATTTTCAGGTAGGGGGGCAACCCCTCCAGCAATGAACAATGATAGAGGAGTTGTTAGTGAGTAAGGCTTGTCACTTGCTTTCTATTCGACGCGTGTGCGGCGATGATGCAGCCATCGATCGAGGGTCGAATTTGAACCGTGTTGTGTGATCGGCATCGCGCTCACTGAAGGTGAATGCCTTCAGGGAAGTCGTGTACTGTATACGCAAATGCGACAATTCTGCGAGTCACTTATAACCGCTTTGCCGTTACTTATTGCCAATTATGGACTCAGACTGTTGTCCTATCATCTCATAGAATCCCTGCCACGTAATAATATGCTACACAGTGGCAGTGGGGGTCGCAAAATGCCGATTTATTACTAATAAACCCCAATGATGCGATCGAAATTAGGGATTTTGATCGGATCATTGGGGGGGCACGTGCCACTCCCCCCCCCACTGGCTCCACCAGTGCACTTATTCATAGCACATAGGAAAACAGCGA